AATGTGGATAAAAACAGCAGTAGTTCAAATATGCAGCATTCAATAAATTGATTAAAAGAGCATTTAATTCTGATTAAAGTTACTCTTAATGACAAATACTGCCCATTCATCCATTTTCTGAAACCACTTATCCTGTCCAGGGAGGCTTGGAGCCTATGGGTGTAAGACAGGGACCAACCCAGGATGGGGCACCAACCCATCAGCATGTTTTGGTGGGGGGGGGGGGTGCAGACTGGAGTACCTGGAGGAAACCCCATGATGGGGTTCATTTCACAGGTTTTTCTCAGCTCCCTGCTGTAAGAGTACTGTTGATTTATCATGTTGAGCATATGCCTTCTGAATTTATACAAAAGTGTTGAATGTCTTGTCTGTCCGCCATTGTTTTCTTCATTGTGACCTTGACAGTGCTAGGACTCCCCCTCTTGTCTAGTGGCTTTTTCTGCTGTGGCTCATAGAGTGAACGCCACCTTTGCCATGCCAGTGTGGCTGAGCATTCCAAAGACCCTGAGCACAATGAATAGCCGACTACGCCATCCCAGGAATTTTACCCTGGGAATGTATGAAGAATGGTGGAAATGGGTCACAAGCACACAGGTTCGGTCAACTGAAGTGGGACAGAGACATGTTTGGGACACACCTGCCACATATTCTGACACAGATCTAAACTTATCCCTGTGGTCAAGATTTAACAATATCAATAGGGAGCACCATTTCATCTGCAATCAACACTTTCTACGGAGAATACCGTGTACTTGCGTGCACGCTACTCCGGTATGCCTCATCGCATATGGCAACAGCGCATCCCAATTTAACTGATTCTGGTCCACAAACAATGAAAGCATCGCCAGCAGGGTGTGACTGAATTGTTCCACCAATCTGTCAGACTGGGGTTAATAAGGGGATGTTTGTGTCTTATGAATGTCAAACAGCTGACACAGGTCTTGAAAAACCTGAGACTAGATATTCCTGCCTTGATCAGTGTAGAGTGCGCAGCAGACCAACACACCCACTCTTCTACTAGGACTCACGCTACCATAATCGCTTCCTGATTTGCCAAGAAATAGCCATCTGTCCACTTAGAAAAAAATAGGGCTACTATCTAATATGGCCACCAACAGCTCCTGTGGGGCCCCTCCCACCTCCTTCAGCGACGCACACTCCATACACCAACGCCTAACGTCCCCCAGCCGCCCCCCCCACCTCCTTCAGCGACGCACACTCCATACACCAACGCCTAACGTCCCCCAGCCGCCCCCCCCACCTCCTTCAGCGACGCACACTCCATACACCAACGCCTAACGTCCCCCAGCCACCCCAGCCTGAAGAAACAGTCCCAAAATTTAGCTTGGACCTACTGCACCATCCAAGTGCCCACAGCCAACGCTGTACACGAGCTACCATACCACTGTCTGTGCTGGTCAGCTCCCTTCAGCCCCCTGTGGTCCTGCTACTTTCTGCACCAACATCCCTTTTCGAACTTCCGACTCATCCCAACAGAGACATCGCCTCTGCATTAGCGTGCAGCTTACCTGCTCTACGTGCAGCCGTTCCATCCACCGGGCCAATTGTGAGCCTCCTCCATGTTTCACAATAGGTATGGTGTTCTTTTCTTTTAAAGCTTCATTTTTCCTTTTGTAAACAAATAGCTCATGTGACTGAACAAAAAGCTCCAGTTTTGTCTCATCAATCCACAGGACATTCTACCAGAAACTTTGGGGCTTGTCAACATGCATTTTTTTGCGAATTCCACTCTGGTTTTTCTATGTTTTTCTATCAATAGTGGAGCCCTCCTAGGTCTTCTTTCATGGAGCCCATTATTATTAAAAATGCGCCGGATGGTGCGATCAGAAAGTGACGTACCTTGACCTTGGAGCTCAGCTTAAATGGTTTTGGAGAGTTTCCTTGGCTCTTTTTCTACCATGTGCACTATCCTTCTAATCAACCTGAGGTTGCATTTCCTTTTGCATCCACGTCCTGAGAGGTCGGCTACAGTCCCATGAACCTTGAATACTTGAAAACTTT